AATCCAATAGCCTTTTTCTCTAGATGAAAGTCATAATAAAACTGTCCAAGATCAAGATTCCCTTTATAACTAGAAGACGGCACCCTTAGTGTAGATGCTATTTCCAAATGTCTAGCAAGTTTCATTGGTACATCTGAAGCTGTTAAAAATGTTGACGAATTGTGTTTGGTTGATTTAATTGTACTACTTTTACTTGCATTTCCCTGATTAAAAGTTTGTACCATTCCTGTGAGAAAAATCCTAACATTAGTAACTATTTATTTTATCACTTTAATGCAATAATTTGCTAAGGAATTTTGAGGTTTTAAATGAGTTTATAAAAATTCAGACCCAGTTTATTTGTTGTACTTTCATCCCACCAAACTAAACTGTCAATTAGTGTCGACAATGACACTTGGCCAGGAGGTAGATTCCTACATTGATCCAAACATAGTCGAAAGCATACCAAAAGTCTGACAMCTTTCCATTACATGCATTATTATTTGCTAGATATTATTCAGCATCAATCATACCTGGTGGGTAAGAGCTAACTGCTGCTGTTCTCTGCAAGTTGTCAAATTCAACTTTGCTTGATCTGCCATATACAGGCTACAAAGTAAACCGTTCATCATATATAAGACATATGTATGTATAATAACACTTACTAGCAACCATCTAAGTTATACCAACTTTCAATTAAACCTTTAGCTTGAGCTAAGATTATATGATCATGATTGCACAACAAAATTCTTTAAAAAAGCTTACGTKTTGTCTTATAGTAGCTGGTTTCTCTGTGAGGACAACAAAACCATCTTCGTCCATACATTCATCAACCTCTGTCGAATATACTCTGTCTTCCACAAACGAATCTTTTCTAATAGTGTCATTAGGTGCCATCTTTGAATAGAGACTACGAAAAAAACTCATTTCCGAGAAGTGAAAGCGAAGTTCGGATAACGCTTCCAGTAAAAATATACTTCAGYAAAATGTTGAGGTCTACTTTCATAACTACATCTCAATACTTGAGAGTCGACTTTTAAGTATGTTCCTTTTTAGCACTGTTGTACGTAGCTACATGCAATGCAAGTTTTTAGCTGGTTGCGAACTRGCTATTTTTAGAATTCTTCGTAATCCGCCATTTTGGGGCTGACTCATAAGCGCCCGCGATGACAATCTTAGCGACCCACTGCATGGACCGTGGGGGCCTRGTTAACCCGCCAAAAATTTGCCGCGAAAGTGTTGTAGTTGAGTCAAGTTTTCTCTTCGTAAATCTCTTTATTTTARTCATGGAAGTACCAAGAGTAAATGCATCGATGCTTAGGCAGTATGTTGGTAGATTGGTGTGTTTAGTGGGCAAGATAGAACAGGTATTTTGTTAGAATACGTTGAATGTGCCGTGTGTTGGTGAACTGATCGAAAT